TTATATGGCAGTTCTATTTTTATTTTTTTCAAGAAACTACATACTGTTTTCCATAATGGTGGCACCCATTTTCATTCTTATCAACAATCTGTAAGGATTCTCTTTTATCCACACCCTTGTCAACATTTACTATATTTTCCCTTTTGATAATAGACATCCTAAAGGTATGAGGTATTCTCTCATTGTGAATTTGACTTGCATCTCCCTGATGCTGATGATTAGTGATGTTGAGCATCTTTACATGTACTTGTTGGTGATTTATATATCTTCCTTACAAAAATATCCATTTAGGTCTTTTGCCCATTTTTAATTCAGGTTGTTTGGGTTTTTTTTTTTTTTTTTGTATGCTATGAATTGTGTGAGTTCCTTATGTATTTTAGATATTAACTGCTTATTGAATATATGTTTTCCAATGTTTTTTATTCCTTAGGTTGCCTTTTTATTTTTTGATTTTATGCTACATAAAAACTTGTTAATCTGAAGTATTCCTGGTTGTTTATTTTTGCTTTTATTGTCTAAGCTTTAGGTGTCATATCCATGAAATCATTGCTAAGACCAAAGTCATGCAGCTTTCCCTCTATGTTTCCTTCTGTGAGTTTTATAAATTCAGGTCTTACATTTAAATCTTTAATCTATTTTGAGTTGATTTTTCTGTATGGTGTAACATAAGCATCCAATTTTTTAATTTTTTTGCATTCAGATATCCAGTTTTCCCATCACCATTTATTGAAGAGGCAATCCTTTTTCTGTTGTGTATTCTTTGTGCCTTTGTTGAAAATTAGTTGGCCATATATGCCTAGGTTTTTTTTTTTTTTTCTGGGCTATCTATTCTGTTCCACTGGTCTATGTGTCTGTTTCTATTCCAGAATCATACTGTTTTGATTACTATAGCTTTGTAATAACATTATTTTATATAGAAAATCCTAGAAAATCCACCTATATATATTAGAACGAATAAATGACTTTAGCAATGTTGTAGGATACAAAATCAATATAGAGAAATCTATTATATTTCTATGCAGTAGTAATGAGTGAACCAAAATGGACATTAAGCAATCAATTCTTTTTACAATAATATCAAAAACTGTTAAATATTTTAAAATTTTAACCTAATAATTGCGAACTGCTCCTAAAAAGTACAAATTGTTGTTAAGAGAAAAAAGAGCTATACAAAAGACATTCCATGTTCATGAATTGGAAAACAGTATTTTTAAGATAATAATAGTACACAAATCATTCTATATATTTCACACAATCCTCATCAGAATTTCGGCTGTCTTCTTTGTAGAAATTGACAAACTGATTTGCCCCTCTCTCTTCCATTACCCTT